ACATTCCCTGTATCTAGACTTTGATCACAGTCATGCAAGCTTTCTTACATTGCCTATAAGCACCTGTAATGTGTAGAAAATTGATTTTTCTCCCTCGACACTACTTACCAGTACTGCTAGGATCTCATGTTAATTAAAAGATAAGCAGTGGCTCTTCAAAACTTTTATGACACTTGTCTCATTTTCAAATTGAGAAGCATTGCTGTATTCAGCCATTTTAGAACTGAACACATTCTCTACTTTTGTTTTCAACAATTAGGCAACAACAGGCAAAACAAGAACCACTTGCAGCCAGCCTGTCCTTAACAATCTGCAGTGAAAAGGGAAAATCGATAGACACACTCTTTCCAATACTAAATACTAATACTAATATTCCCAGATACTAAAAAACATTGAAATATTCTTTTTTTCATAATTTCCAAACACTCACCGGTTGCCTCACACGGCAGAGCCAATTTTTCCAAAACAGAGCCTTGAATTGGTGTATAGTGTGCCCCATATCTTCTTTTCTTTCCTTCACCCACTTGCAGAGTGGCTTCTTAGGGACTTTCTAACTCAGAATCATCTCACCAAGCAGTCCAAACGTATTATTCAGAAGCTGATCAATTCCAGGACTAGAGGATAGTGCAGGAGATTTGCCTGCTTCCTGAGAAAAGATGAGATTATATTTCTGCCTCTTGTTTTGCTTTCATTGGGAAATCTCATCTTTCTGTTTTTCTTCTCAGTGCAATGAACAGTAAGGGGATGGGTTTATAGAAATGCCTTCAGGCTGCTTTAATCCGCAGCATACATTCTGCACTTGTTTCTGCTTTTCTGGAATAAAAATGGATGCAAAAAATGAAGTGGGAGGGTGTGGGGGACGGGGGAAAGAATATGTAACCATATTTGTCTTTTTTCAAAGCTTTGTGACATTTTGTTACTTTAGTGTTTATGTATTTTTGCAGATGCTTACATTTTTGAAAAAGAAATAATAGAAGGAAAATAAATAGGAAAATAACTCTCTTTCACCACATAGCCCTGAAAATGTCAGTATGTGTCTAGAACATCCATGTAAGTACAATGTAGTGATTCCAATGCATCATCAGATGACCATTGGATTTTCTCTTGTGGAAGGTGTATGTTTGACATTTCATTCTCCTTTACCTACATAGAGGGGGAATATTCCAACAATAGAAAACTCTGTTAATTAATTACCACATGCCACCTGGGATAAAAATCAGTCTTACAGCAGCAGTTCCTCCAGCAAGGAGGTGGGAGAGCAACTCCTTCTGCAGACAGGGAGCATGTGCAGATCTGTAGTAGCAGAGCCAGTGGGAGACCCAGCAGGAATCTGGTGGTGCAGAAGATGACCACCCTACCTATCTGGAATGACACTGTGAGCAGAGGATTAAACTTTCTGGGTTTTTTGTTCTACACAAATGAATTGCCTAAGAATCTGATCCCCAAAAGCTCTCTCTATGGTCAATAGAGACCATAATACATAATACAGCCATTATATAAGGTAATTCAAACCACCTAGAATCTGTAATACGTAGTACATAATACTAATACATAATACTAAGAATCTGACCCCCAAAAGCTCTCTCTATGGTCAATAGAGACCATAATACATAATACAGCCATTATATAAGGCAATTCAAACCACCTAGAATCTGAGTCATGATTCACACACACACAAAAGACAGCATGATGCCTGAACAAATATCCTTTATTTCTTACTATTGCTGAATAAATTGCATCATTGCACTTTCTACTTTTCTGTACTCTTACTGAATGAAAGACACACCCTAACATCCACAGCTATTTTTCCCCATTAAGAATAAAATCCCCCAAAATATAAAAACTTTTTGGATACAGACATCATCAGAGAAGAATCCAATTTCCATTAGATTTAAGCCAAGGCAGCAATGCTACTTCTTCAATGAACAACTGCACACCTGCAGGTCTAATTAGTTGTGCCAGTTTCTATGGGATGAAGATCAGCTAGTGTTGAGTGCCTTAGCTTTCCTTTCCCAGCAGCAGTTTTGGCCCTTCAGAGCACATTCTAAACTTAGTTACTCCACTTCCTGGGAAACTGACTGATTAGTCTGTTAAAATGTCTCTATTTGAAATGGAAATTTCTGGTTAAATTTTTATATTTTCCATGGTTCAAGGAATAGAGAAAAAACAGACTAAGTAGGTGTCATGAATTCATCAATTTTACATAGTGGTTGAAATCACCTCCCAAAAAGCAGAAATCACAGATGAAGTCATGGCAGAATACTACTAGCTAAACACTTTAATTTTTCAAATATGGTGGGATTTCCTTTTATATTATCTGATCTGAGACTGAAAAATTACTGAAGTAACCATTTAGTTCAAGTAGAAATATGAAAGTCCTCAGGACATACTAAAAACTAAATAGTTTAATGTTTACCTGAATGACATTAAGCACATATGTATCGTTGAGTCAGAATTAATTAATACCTTATCAAAGATCTCCACTTCACACTTGGATGGCACTCCTGCTTTCAGTCAAGCAGTGCTAAAATGCCTGCCATTTCATTTTCTCACTAGGATCAAAGGTGACATTCTGGGATAGCAGTGATGCAGATTCTGTGCACAGCAGAAGTAAGCATTTTTAAACAAATATTTTTTTCAGAAACTGAAATTGAAATACTGTTAATTGTTAATACGTGTGGAATCACACAGCCATTCTGGAAAGCCAGGGAGCAGAATCTATAGAATGAGATTTGTAGGAAGTTATAAGTTACTCAGCATAATTAATTACAAGTAGTTTTTTACTTATCAAAGCTACTGCTATGGAAGACTGTTCTGTCTGTAAGTGTGTGAGCTAAAGCAGCTCATGTGAACCATCTGCCAAATTATTTTGAACAAGCCTTTCTGCAAAATCTCTGCTCGTCCGACTGTGACGTGTTAATTTATTATGCTCTATATAATTACGTTCTCATAAATGTGGCATTCTATTTTCATGGTAACAGGAAACAACTATTTTGTATGCAATTAATGACCAGTACTAATGAACTACTGAGTCCCCATTCTACTATATAAAACAAACACCTTTCACCATCAAGTTACATTGACTTCATTTGTCTCTTACTTCATTAGAGAAGTCTCTCACTTCCTATAGAAATTCAATCTTGCCTTGTTTGGTATCCTCCAGTGGCAGACCTGTTTTTTCTATAATGAAATTTAGGAAAGTAAAAGATATCCTATGAACATTCCCTCGAGAACAATTGCTGCAGTGACATTCTGGGAAATTACTTCTCAAAGTAATTTTAGAAGACACACATTCTATGAGCTTGATTGCATTATTTTGAATGTCATAGAAATATGAGAATTATTAAATAAAACCATCACCCCCCAACCCCAAACAAAACCCTTGGCACAAAAGATATAATAATATGAGAATGAAACACAGAGACAGGAAAATCAAAGGGATAATTAGTATTTTTGGAAAGAAGTATCAGCTATATTGCTGCCATCCTGGAAGCTCTTTTGAATCCCTAGGTTTCATCAGGACAGCATCAAGCAGTATCTTGTGCAAGTACCAGCCTTAAATATCTGCATTAACTATATAATTATTTCACTATAAACAACTGGCAATATATATATTAACTGAATGTTTTCAGGGTTCCTTTGACAAAATAGCTGTAGTCAACAGCAACATCTTGAGTATTGCAGGGCAAATTAGAAAGGCATGTATTTCATAATGTGCTCGACTCACTTCCTCTGGAATGAAAAAAAAAAAAAAAAAGAGGCTCAGAATTGGGTCTTTGAGTAAGGACCCTGACCTTTTTTGTTTCTGATTAGCATTAGTATGCTATGCCTCAGTTTTAACTTAAACCTTTACTTTTTGTAATATAAAAGTTATCCAAAATCACTGGGGCTAAAAAGGCAGTAAAGCTCCTGCTAGTATCCAGCTCTGGTTTTAAAACTTGACTGCTTTATAATATCATACCATCAACACGCCACGTCTAGCCTATAGTTTTGATAAAATGTAATTAGAGTAGGCTGGCAAGCACTTTCAAAGAAATATAATTTTATATGTTAAATAGGTTAAAGCCTGTGAGCCAACAATACTCTTTGGTATGGATAGGAATGCAGTCAAATCATGCGATAATATGGCTGGGAATCTGGCAAACCAACCTATTTTCCTATCACCACCCACCACTTTTTTCACAAGGTTTATTAAGTGATCACAAGGCTTTCCTTTTATTAAATGTAAATATTTACATGGGCCAGACCTGTGTTCAGACAAAGTGCCTGCAAGATGACAACAATTAGTAGCATCTTTCCTGGAAGACGGTTTGTGTGTCCAAAGTTAGGGCCTGATGAAAAATGTTAGTTGTGGGCAAGGTCAAATAATGGGCCTGATTAAAATGGAGCTATGTGTTAAACAAACAAAACAGACACAATCTCCCAAGGAGACCAGTAGTTTGTTTGAGCTTCTGGGGAGCTCTAGGACGTTTACTCTTGTAAAATGACAGACTGATAGGAAATTGAAAATTTTCTCACAGCTACAAGCTCAGTGCCAACAAGAAGCTCATGTGTCATGTAAAACCAGCTCTTGTCTGTCTTTTGCTGCTGCTTCACTTTGTTTGTAGACCATGAAAAAGCACTGTACCTGTCAGTAATACTCTCCCTCTTCTATTATTGTACCACAGAGTTTCAGGTTTAATATTGCTCTGTTCAGTGACCTCCTTTCTCTTCAGCAGAAGACTTTCTGGACTTGTAATTTAATCCATACTCTGGAGTATAATATTAAATGGTAATTATTTTAGAAAGATAAAACATGACTTTTAGTTACTCAAAGACTGAGAAACTTTCAGGAAAAACAAACTTCAACGTTTTGTACCAAACCATAATAGTAACATCAAATCACACTACTGTGCCTTCTTGTATTCAGTTCTTGCAAGCAGATCCAATCCCCAAAGTCAAATTTGCAGCTTTGGTTTTCTTTCACCTGTCTTGTCAATGGAAATTAAAAACACTCCTGATTCAACCATATAAACATTTTATTTAGGAGTATATATTGAGATCCCAAATTGAAAAAAATCCAGTTCTGTTACACAATGCACTGAAAATCCTTTACAAAGAAGAATGTTACAAAAAATATGCTGCTTATTACATGCATATATTTCAAGAAATACTGAAATTATCAAATTATTTCACTTGGTTTTTAAAGGACAGATAAAAAATATGTTGTCTAACCACTTCTGGACATAGGTCATTCCATAATGTTCCTTTTCAGGATTTCTCACACCTTCCTTTAAAGAAAATCCTTCTCTGAAATATATCAAGATGCCAAAACTAAAAATCCTCTGCAAATCACTATCTGTGTTACTGCTCTTTTTCAGTCTCTTGCAAATGTAAAACCATTGCATTATAGCCTGTCTTCATTATGATCTCAACCATTTCTTTAACAAAATGGTAGGAATAGGCCAGAACACCATAAATCACAGAACAAACCACTGGTAGGAGCAACTTTTTTCTCCCTTCCTGCTTCCACTCTATTCATAGCTTCTGTCTTCCTTCTTTGCTTTTATCCCTTCTGACCCTTGTATTAAATGGATTGTACAGTATTTTGTTAGGTATAGGATGGCACAGAGAACCACAGCAGGCCCTTGATGATGGGTTTCTGGAGTTTGCAGGATTTGTAATCTACTATGAGACATTGTATTATGTAATATTGTATATGCAACACCACATATGTTTTCTAAAATATCACCACTCCAAATCTTGATTCATGTTCTACAGAAAGAATGATAATGTGTATATTGAACAATTGACTTGCATATAAAACCTGTAAATATTGTAAAACTTTCTGTAAAACTTACAGGAAGGTAACTTCTCAGCCGGATGCACACAATTGACTCACTTCTTTATCTCCCTGTCCAGTTGCAGTCATAAGGGAAAATACAATTGTTCTTATCAGGGTAACATTCTGGCAAGTTTCCTCTGAAGTCAGGAAAGGTATTTTATTGCATATCAGATGTGTCTGTAGAGTGACCTCTTGCATTAGGAATACAGCATCAGAGGAGGAGGAACAGCAGAAACAGGAGGATACTTGGTATCCTTTGACTTCTAATTTTAAGCTTTCATATGTCCCTTCACTCCATCTGGTAGGAAGCACAGAAGTAAATCTTTTAGCAGAAAGAAATGTACAGTGTCCTAAGGAACAGTGGGAAGGACAAAGGACACACAAGCAAAAGGTTAATGGCTCATCTTTCAGAGGCTTCTGCCAGGGTCTTGGCTATTGATTTAATGCAATAGTTGCCGTATCCCATGAATGCATGACCCTTATCTCCAGCTCGGCCAGGCCACAATACCATTTATATTTTAGCATCTAGTACATAAGAGTTTTTATATTAGTTCTCAGAATAGAAGTACCAGCACACACTGTTAATATAATTCAAGAAATTCTTTTTAACAAGTTTCCAGATTCATTCTGTCCTTCCTTTAAAAAGACAAATCACATCATTTTAGATTCATACCTCCAGGACAACTGTAGTAATATGCTTCCCCAGAGCTTCACAGAGTCCCATTACATGTCTGTTTTCTAGGTAAAGCATTTTTTTCTTCTCTTTAGGTACTTCTTATTAAGTATTTCTTATAGAACAGCAAACTGTCTCCTCCAAAGCCATACCAGTCAATTTGGTGTAAGACCCTTCCCCACAGAGAGCAGCACACACTGAAGTGATCTCAGTTTTTATTTCCTTGTTTCAAGAACAGGACCTTGAAGAGAAAAGATGCGCTTTGTTGCATGTTTCCCAAAGGGCCTCAAAGACTTCATGCAATGCCTAGGCAAGTATCAGTCATAGTTAAACACAGATTTTTTTTTTTTTTTTTTTTTTTTTAATAAAGAAGAAACAGTTCAAAAAAAAATGTGGAGCCATTCCCACTTCTCTTTTTGCCTTAGGCTTACGGAAAAAAATATTTTCTCTGAAAATTTACCTTCACTGTATATCCTGATCATAAATAAGAAAATGTGGCTTTAAAATTAAAAGAAGACTAGATTGTAACTTTCTAAAAGTTACTAATATGTTTTCCAGCTGAAAAACCGATCAAATTAACGAGACTGGTCATTGCTGGCAATTTTCTGTTCATTAATTACCCTTCTTTTTTTAATGTTTTCATCACATTGTTTCCAATCTCTGTCACTTGGTGACTGTGCCTAGTACTCACAACCCTCTCTTATAGTTCTAACTCTTGTGCTTGTTAACAGCATTGCAGACTGCAATCCACACAAAGAAAATCTCATTTTGCTGGGTCAACCACAGCTGTTCTGAGAGCTTATTCAGACTTGCTGACCCGTGACCCCTGCTAGGACTGGACGCTCCCCCACTGCAGTAGAAAGAAGGAAAATACAAAATAAAAAAAGAGATAAACACATTTTCTTTAAGTGACCCATATTTACATTCAAACCACAGCAGCAAAGCAGCAAGGAGTATATGATAAAAAAAAAAAAAAAAAAAAAAAAAAAAAAAAAAAAAAAAAAAAAAAAAAAAANCACTTAGGCCAATGTTAGTGGAAAAAACTGGGAACCATTGCAACAGTGAGTGTTACATCCTGAGGATGGAGATGAATACCAATTTAAAAAAAAAGAAAGTAAAAGCAAGGGAAAAAAAGGGATAGCATAACACAGGCCTGTGTTATGCAGTCTCCCGACTGCCTTTGGTTTCTCTTCATAAGCAGGAATCTTGCTTCAGCAAAAGACTGCTAGTACTTCAATGCAAAATTACTTAATGCAGAAATATTTCCTGGGTATTGATTCAATTCTTTAGTTAAAATATTGCCGGATCAGTATCTAGGCAGTACAGCTATTCAACAGCTCAGTGTCAATTCCTTAAAGCTTAGAAAATTCAGTCCCACACTTTGCAATTTCATGAAATTTTAATATATGAAAATAGTATTGTTTATTTATCAAAGTCTGCAAAAAAAATAAACTGCATTCACTTCAAGTCTTCTTTACAAGTGAAGCAACAAAGACAATTATAACTTATATAATATTTTATAGCAACAAGAAAATTATTTTAATTTTTAAGTTAGTTTTCTGGTATGCACATACTTGGACATAAAGTTTGATTTTCTCTCTAGTTTTTCTTTGACAGCAGACATAAATAAAGCTTTTTCATGTATTATCACAGGCTTGTCCTTCACAACAGATCCACTTTCCAAATCATTGAAAAGTGAGTTTTCTGTCCAGCAATGCATAACTAAGCTAAACTTAAGTCCTTCAGCACATTCAGTTCCCAAAGAACAATGACATAAATGATTAACTGCCACTGGCACACGGAATGCTGTAAGTTATTGTGAGGCAAAAGACCTGTAATGCACAGAAGTCATAACTGTGACCAGATCTGTACAAGGGCCTTCTCCTTCCCTAAAACACCAGATGGATATTTCAGACTTTCCCAAGACTTTTCTTAATGAAATATCCCACTAACTTCTGCGGCCTCTGCTGGTACTCCACAAGGACATCATGCGGGCTGCTGATTTGATCCCCTTCGAGTCGATTCAGAAGAGTGACACACACTACAGCAGCTAGAAATTAAAAGACAGCATTTGTTAGGAATGACATATTTTACAGTCCAAAAGTATAAACATTTGAACAAACCACTAAAGGAGCAGAAATACAAGAGAAAACAAACCCCATAAAAGGGTGTGCAGTACCATGAGATGCTAGGGGACTAGCATGCTATAGAAATAGTTCAAGGGAACTGCTTGCTACACTAATAAAGCCAGAACTCTCAGGCAGCTGCAGACACTTATTGTTATATCATGATTTGTATGTTTTCCTTGATAGGAAGTATATTTCACAAGTACCCAGGACATGATTGATAGGAAGTGCCTGACACACTTCTAGCAGAGACACAGTTCTAGCAGAGCCAGTTGCAGTCCTCCACTGAGTGCCTGTGCTGTAGGTGCCACCCCTCAGGAAGCAGCAGGTAAGCTGCCTCCACATTCATGGACAGGGAACACTGCAAGCACATGAGGACCTCAAGGATCATCTCAGGCTCATATGCTGTCTTTCAGTAATCAGAGTCCCAAAGGCAAAACCCCTCCTTTCACTCAAGCTCAGGTCTGTCACTCAACCCTGTAACTCTTCTCTGTCTGGGGTTTCTGCCAGTGGCAATTTGCTGACCACAAACAATAAATATTTATTACAGACCTACAAAGCAGAGACAGCAAAAGGCCTCCTGAATTGCTTAGGGATAGTATTGGTTGGGTTTGTAATCCCTTTCAGGCCAGTAAGAACTGAATGTGTTTGATATAACCATTGGCCATTTTGCTTATATTTCATCATTTTGACCTCCTTGAGCTTATAGGAGCTTGAGAAACATCAGTGTTTTAAATTGGCATTTTCCTTTCCAAGGAAATTGAGAGAAGACAGTTAATATGATAAGAAGAAATACACTGTATTACATTATTTTAATTTTCCTTTTTTATTTAGCATGCATTAAAAGAAAACTTTAACTCATTTTATGATTTGGAACAGTTTATGATGCTACTAAAAATCCTTAACTGTTTAAGAATCATAGTCTTAAGTCTACAGAAAACAATGATAAGTTCCATTTGATATGAAAGTATAGAAATTGAGTACAGTTACATTCATATGGATCTGAGAATCAGCTGATTGCTTAAACTAAGCAGTTGCTTTCTGTAAACTTCAAAAGCTAACTGGAGAAAACAAATGAATGCCACAGGGTATTAAGGTACTTTAATGATTTACATGGTTGCCGTGGGCTGGAATAGCAAATGATAGAAGTAAACTGTGTAAAAACTGCATGAAGAATTTACGATAAATTGTGACAAAACTGACACAAATCAAAAAATCATAGCAACAAAATTATAAGCAGAAATATCTTTTATATGTATGTATATGTGCAGAAGGTATGTTAACATTGCTTTGCACTTTTTAGCCACAAACCTCCTGCAACAGAAAATTTCCTATAGCCTGGATAAAGAGACTAAGTTAGTTTACCTTTGACACCACTGAGATTACACATTGCAGCAAATACAGAAGACTCCATCTCGATGTTTCTGACACCAGACTCATAAGCATTCTTCAAATATTGCAGTTTTTCGTCTTCATCATATAAGCAGATTGCACCATCCAACCTCCCCTGTCCTAGAAAGTAATTTTGTAGAACATTTCAGAGTGATGAAGTCACAAAGCAAATTCAATTTTGAAAACACCCAGTTATTACAGTCTCCTCCATACAGTGCTCAGCTTTTACTACTACTCTTTATTTTTGTGCACAAGACAAATAGGACAAAGTGATTCTTAGCTATTGCTAGAGTGTATACATGGTATATTTATTCTTTATAATCATGGTAACTTAATGGTAATTGGTGAATCATGGTAACATTAGTTTTCTTCAGCTTCAATTCTCAAATTCATAAAGAGGAGAATGTATGTCATACATTCCCACACATTCAACAAGTACCAAAATTCCACAAGAAGCTTTAAGTTGTATGAAAAAGCTGCATTTTTGACACAGTTTAATCACTGTCCAAGAAAACCATCAGGCTTTCCTGTTTCTACGTTAAAAGGATGAACATCTTGCTACTTACACTTTCCAAGGTAAGAGATGTAGTGTCTCTTAAGCTAACTAACTAACATTACTGTAAATTTTGAGAAAATTTTTACTCAAATTATTCAAGAGTAACACCTACAAGACAGTAGCAGGTTAAGTACATTAGAGTTGAAATACAGTGTATTTTACTCAGTCTCTTCTTGGGTTTGGGAGATGTACTCCTAAATTAATGTCCTCAAGCCTGTTCTCATATATGAGTTGAAAACATCCTGACACATTTTTTAGTGTTGTTTGCACCTGTGGTTGGTGCCTGAGATACACGAACTGACAGCTTGTGGTTCTGCCCAAGCTGGAGCACTACAACGAAGATCATTTGTCACCTACTCAGCAACAGACTCATTTGTCACCTTTCTCTGTCTGTCACCTACTCAGCAACAGACAGAGAAAGTAGGATGAGGTGCCACTTACATTCTGTTCTCACAATGTTTGAAAGGTGTTTCTGAATGAACATCTAGATTTGGGAGATCAGAAAAGCACCTGAATGCCTACATCTTTATCTAAAATAGGCTTTGCGTCTCCTACATAGCAGCACTGACACAACTCAGCAAAATATTATCTTTGGTTGTCTGATCACTGCTTTGCTTAAACTGAAACAAGCTCCAACCCTTTTTTTATAAAATATTTACTTTTAGTACTTAACCAGTGCATGGAAAACCAAACCTAAACAAGTCACAAATAATTCCCACTCCCCTAATCCCCTAGGATGCTTCAATAAATGACATAAATTTTGTGACAAACATACCTGATAGGTACCTGAAAAGTGTATAGTAGACTATATGAACTTCAGAGGATCTATTAAAGTTGGGGAGAAATCTCCCCAAAATTAAAAGTTTCATACATCCAACTGCTAAGTACAATGCTTGATTTTAAGTAGATGAGAAATAGTTTAATTGAGATTTGTGAGACAAGCCAGAGTAGGGAGCACATTCTGTTAGTGAACTGGAAGCCAAATCTTAATATATTATTCAATAGTTATCTATTGCTGCTTACCAATATTGTTCTGTTAGTCTATCACCAGTCTTACCTTCATAGAAATCCAAAGTGCACATGGTGTTTCCAATGACTGTATTGAACTGACCAATTTCTTTACTGCACTGCATCAGCTCCTTAGCCAGCTGTTCATCCAGGTTAGTGCTGCGAATTACAGTCTTTCCCAGAACAACCTGTTCCAGCTGAGGCTTGAAGGTGGCATCTACAGACTGCCTAGTTATAACCACTGAGCCTGGCTCCAGACCTGCAGTAAAAGGAAATATATATATCTTCACAATGCAGTTAACTAGTGGTTTCCAGACACATAAAACATACCTCTTGACCCAACCCTGCTTCTCTTAAAGGGGAGAATTTCACTTCTGAATCCACCAGGAGAATTTTTTGTCCATGGCTAGCTGCTTCATTTAATTATTACAAATAATTTCTGAAATAATGGAATTTTTCCTTTTTCACTTCTTTCTTATATTTTCCATACAGGACAGGAACATCCTTCTTCTAACATTGTCAGATCTTTAAGTGCATTTTTTCTATGCAAAAGCAGACGTTGCCTTTACTTTCAAAATTACAAAAGAAAAATTATGAATCTCCTGTGGAAAACTGTTCTGACCATTAATTTCTTGCATGCAGAGAGATGCTTTACTCTCCTGCAAATATAACTTGGTTTACAGAAAGGGAGAAAGAAATCAAGAGGGGAAATACCTATTCCACCAGAGGTGCCAATACGAATGATGGTTATGTCAGAACACTTGGCATGATACAGCAGTTTGATCAGCTCATGCAACATGATTGAAATAGAAGGAATGCCCATACCATGCTGAAAAGGAAATACAAATTAATATTCCACATTCACATAGAAAACACAAAATATCTATGGAAGAAGCAGTAGGACATTATCTCCTGCCTGATACTGTTTTCCCAAATGCCACCTAACTCACTCCCACAAAACCCCCACGATCTGGGCCTACAGAAAAATACTGAAAGGGCCTACAAATAGACACCCACAAGCTTTGGCAGACTATGGATGAAATACAGTATTTCTAAAAATCATGAATTACAGAACATTAACATTCTCAAAGGTATAAAGAGTGTCCTTTCCAATAGCTGACTAACGCACTTTATCATGGAGCATTTCCTAAATGCAATAAAAACCCCACTCTGATTTTTCACTAACCTGAAGTACTAGTTAGTTTAGTATCCTGATCCACCAGCCACCTGAGAAGGATGGGATGATTTGGGCTTTATGGACAAGCACATACTAGATTTCTGGCAATTCGTCTTACTCTGTCATACAGACAGGAGGCAAATACCCTATGGCATGAAACTGATAACTGATAAGGGTACAGAGGATCTGAAACAGGACAGAGAAAACTTAACTAATTAGTTAAGCTAATTTTTTTCAAAACACAGACACCATGGTTTAGTCTTGATGTTCAGCAAATATAAATCCACATTAGCTTGCACAATATTGTGGTAATTACAGCTCACAAGAAAAGGTGCAAAATAATACTACAGTTTTGCAATTACAATTGAAGCATGTAATTCTATCTACAAACTCAAGCTACAAATTTCTTTAAAATGCATACATGGGTTGGCAGCATAAGTCCCATGGAATGCTACTCTTAAGCACATTTGACAGTGCCATTGCAGATACATAGCTCTGGGTACATATATCTGGATACAGATATATTTTCCAATACCCCACATTCACCAAGTGACCTTTTTTGCCCCATTTTTCAGGGCACAGACCAGGGATAAGGCAACAATAACTGCACAAAAAATATATAAGGCCATTCCTGCAACACCTCAGCTCAGTGGTACACAGAGGAGAAAGGGATGCAAGAAGGAGCAAAGGTATTGGAGATTTTCCCTCTTACAAAAAAAGAGGCTAAAAAGGAATCCTTAATTAGCTGACTGCAATATTTTGAGTAGCCTGATTAGGACTGTGAAATATTTAAAAGAAACATGCATTCAAATTTTATGCTTTGAACAGCATCAAAACTGAACCGTGCCCTGTGTAAGACGAGGGAAGTACTTACACTGACGGACAACACGGGCCCCACTTTGTACATGGCGTAGCGGTCGGTGCCCGCGCAGATGTTGGGGTAGTCACACCCAGGGCTCCCCAGCCCCAGCTCCTCTGCTATGTAGGCAATAAAAGCTTTCATCCGGGAAGGACTTCCCCCAACACACACAAACTGGGGTGGACAGAGTTCAACAAAGCAAAATCAACTGCATGATTCCATATGTCAAAGAACAACATAAATATGCAAACGCCTTCAGTAAGCACAGATTTATCCACAGATATGGTGCTCCTCATAATCATTCTAAAATGCCATGAAGAAGAATTATGGGGAAAAAACTCAGCTGTCTACAGCACTCAAATACCTTCACCCTGTTTAAACTAATGAAAGAAAAATATTGACATGAAGACCCAACAAACAGAAGTATGTTTCTGAATAGACCCTATAGCATTTGCCTTTTTACTGGATGAAAAGAGACAGTCCAAAACAATTACTCTCAGCTTTGTTGGATACCAGAAGTGACAAGAACCCACAAAATTTTTCCCCTTTTGCATGTACTCCTCAATAGCTGGTAGGCTGACACGTTTAGTGGCATATTTATTCTGAAGACAGCTACACTTTCACCTTCTGCAGCAAAGCTCAGGCTTGCTGAAAAAAGCAAAGCATCTTACCTTTACATCCCCAAACAATGATGGAAAATCATGGGTACCAGTCCCAAGAGCAAAATGGTACAGGATGTCTTCTTTCATTTTCTCCAGGTGAGGGTTGCAGAGATGAATAAAGTTCTCTCTACCAAGACAGCAGCATTGTGAAACATGTAGAAAATATACAAATATATATAGAATATATACAAACATTGAACAGATGACAATTCTTCAAAGTCAAGCAGTCAAAAGCTGGGAAATGCCACATGTGCAAATGCCTGTCCAACCTTATTTTGGTTCCTTGTGCATTGTGTAAAAGAAACCCTAAATTTCATAACTGTTTTATGTCTTACAAAATATCGCATATGACATTTCACGTTACATTCATCGCACAGGACAAAAGAGCTGAAGAAAAGCCCAGATCTCCAGATGCATTTGCAACAGCACAATCTTTATCTTAAACAATATTAAAGCTGGGGAACCACAGTGGGTCTTCATGGTGAGCAGAAAAATGGGAGCAGGACCAGGGAAAATTCAATAGCCCACCATATTACAGAGGCAATCTATAGCAAAGCTGAAAAGCAAAACTCTACCAGCCACCTGAGAAGGATGGGATGATTTGGGCTTTTATGGTCTGAAACAGGACAGAGAAAAATGGAGATCTGAAGCAAGGAGAAAACCATAGAAGTGAAAAAAAAAAAAATTCAAGAAAAAAGAATTCAAGAAAAGGGAAAAGAGAGGAAGAGGTAAAAATAATTCTCTTCTTCCTAAGTGCTTCTTGTAAAAAAATTATACATCTTAAAAGAAAAATACAAATTAATCTGTTTGAAGAGAGAGAAATGACAAGGCAAGGAGAGAAACCTGAACTACTTGGCCTGTGGGATCACGTTCATGGAAAATTCAATAGTGGACTAACTAAACAAGCTGAATGCTCTGCCTTCTGTGCTTGATGTTTTAAGTTCAATTGAAACAGGTAGGAAAGACTAGCCAATAAGCACAAGCTTAAGCAGAGCACTGGCAAGTACTTCAAAGTAATTTCTGAGAGATGGAATCAAGTACTAAATAGCTTCCAGACACAAGAAGATGACTTAATAAGTTAATGAAGGCTAATGAAGCTTAGTGGAGACGCAGCATGGCTCAGCAAATTCAAACTGCTTTGTCAGAGGAGACAAACAAAAGAGTTCACCTGCACTTCATTCAGAAAATTGTTAGGATAACTCAAGAACAACTCTGTAGCCTAAACAGAGGTGTTTAGCACTATTTCCGATGGTCTAGGTAACTAGGTTATCTTGTCTACTTTTTAATGCCTCTCCAGAAAAGAGATAAGGCTGAAAAGAACTATGCTTTCCCATAATTCCTATGCCTTATCTGCCTGTGCAGGATGAAGGAAGTCTACAGTGGCCAAGATGCCCATGCTGAGGGTACTGAACTGTTCCTCAGAAAGCAAATAGTTACAACCCAGATATTCTGAGTATATAGTTACAACCTAGATATTCCGAGTATAGGAATTTCTTCTCTTTCTGATGGTCTTTCTCCAACATCAGTAATTATCCAGGAACAGCTGCACAACCAAGGAAAGAGGTGTAATCCCAACCCACCCTATCTGTCCCTGCCCACCGCAGAAAATCACCTTCAGCAACTGAAAGAGCTGCCCATCCAGGCAGCCAGTCCCCTTCAGTAGGAATTCCCTTCCATATCCCATGATCTCCATTTGCCTCCCTTCATACAAATCCTGCCTGAGGTGACATCAAAGGCTTTGGGTGCTTTTATTCTTCCTTCCAAGAGATCTGTTTGACTCTGGGAGAGCTAAAGAGCAGGTTTATGGCCTGTCATGAAGACACAGACAACCTAGGAATTCACCAGTTCATATTAGAAGAATTTCTACGCTGCCTCCCTTGAATTATTCCTGTTCAGTTTTGTGGGACTCTACATTTATTTACTGGCTCACTCAGTAATGCAGATTCAATAACTGTCTGTGCTGCTGTCCATTGGAATGGTTGTCACATTAAAATAGGATAGGATATGATTTGAAATAATTTTATAATCTATCCTCAGGTGAGCAAAAAATGTATTTCCTTCTTCATACGAACCCTGGCAATAAAAGCTTCTCTTCAGGAAATAAACTGGGGAAAGGCGAGGTCTCTATTAAAGTGCAAGGAAGTCCATGTGATATGTGCCAACACCACTGTCCTCATGCCTGACCAAAACATTTCCTCCTTCCTCATCAGTAGCCATATTCCACCCTTTTCATCTCACAGCCCACCAACAACACTCTCTGACCCACTGCCTCAACACAGTGAGAGGCTGTTATCAACTTGCTCAGCTTATCCACACATCTGATTGCAGACTTGGACCCTGGGGTAAAATGAGCAATAAAAACTAGCATATTGTTATGTGTACATAGGATCAATGCCATGGATTTACAGGAGAGGCAAAGTTTGCTGGATAAAAATCCTTGGCATGCAAAGCTAAGGAGCAGAAATTTTATTTCCCTAAAGGTGTTGTAAAGCACCTGCAACTTCTAAGGGTGTAAGTAAAATACGAATCGAAAGATAAGCATGTAGCAGGTTTTAGTAAAATAAGCTTAAAGTAAGGATTAGAGAAACAAACTGAAATATTTGTTTGAACTCTTGAAGCAGCAAGCAAAGTCAACATTCCAGCAGCTCACTGGATTAAAATAAAAATAAATCAAAACATCGCCCTGCTTTGAAATATTCACTGTTGAGAGAAGTTCAAGGGGCTGGCCAGCAAAATCCTCTGTATAGGGGTGGTAAAGCAATAAAGCATCCAGTTGTCAAAAAAGAGCTGCTACTGGATACTTGGCATTATTATCATAAACTTTATTTAAACGAAATGAGTGTGTAATTAGTTTAGGGAGGAAGTTTAAGTGTAAACTTGGACAAAATAATTGATTTTTCAATCTTACTTTGAAGCCTGTCCATCATCAGTATTCTTCTCATTTGAGGAACCAGGAGCCATGTATGTTTAATACCTAGAATTATATTTTTAAAAAATATATATATAAGTGCATCAGAATAGTCCCATCTACAAAGCTGGAAGCATTAACAGAGAAAGAAACCTTCTGTATTGATGATAACTACCATGAATATTAAATTCCCCAAATAATCCAGCCACACTACAGTTTTTATAACTGGAGCAAAAGCAGCAAAATGAGCATCTACAATTTTTACAGCTGAGCATAACCACTTTCAAACCCTCAAGAATAAATTAATCCCTTGCTATTGCAACCCCCACCTCACCACTACTTCTGTTCTGTGGGATGAACAGCTGCAGGTTCAACAGCCACAGAGAGGCAAGTCTCATTGCTAACTAACTCACCCTCTTCCATACCTCCCACACCAACAGCGACTGCCATACCAGCTTCACTCCCCTTCCACCTTTGGCTCCAGAAGATCTCCAAAGCTCAGCTCTAGCTGGGACGCCTGAAACCCAAGTCCAGGAAGCATCTTACTCATAATATCCTCTTCATTAAACTCCTCCTACTGACCTTAAGAGAACTTCTTTCTCCAGCATAAAGCAAGGCACATGAAACTAAAACATGACTTCAAAAAGCCACAGCTCTCCAGTTTATCATCTATCCTGAATACCTTTTTTCTGATCCATTACCTTAACCTATACGCAAAACCTTCTCACTGCTGCATTCTTCTTTACATTTAAATAAACAAATGTATCACTGAGGCTTTCATGCTGGTCCAAAGACAGAATTATAATTATAGAATGACTAATTTATTATTATTTTCAGAAGTGACTAAGGCTACCTGCCGAAGTTGGTACTTTCTGGGAATGCCCTTACGGGAAACATTGAATCATAATGTTTCACTCTACCCTCCATTAAGAAGGGCCTGACAGCACAGAGATTATAACAGAGACAGGACTGTAATCCTTAAAAACCTCAGGATTACACCACAAGGAAACAGGAAGAAATCGATCTTGCAACAGAATTACATCATATGTGATTCTCCAGCAAAGTGCAAAACCTAACAAAATAAACAAAAGACCTGCCTGTTAAAAGCCATTGAATAATGGAAATGTATTAAAATTTATAAGGACAATTACTTTTCTTCATTTAAAATATCAACCTTTATTAAGTAGACCCAAATTCACAGGTATACTAAATGTTTAGAACCATCTATGGTCAAGGAGGGGAAGTATAAAAGTTGCATTTATAATCAACTACACTTCCTTATGGTGGTATGAAGTATAGTCAGCTACTACTGGGCATCACCATTATACCACACACACTACAGGAAAAATACATCATTTCTTCCTACAGTGCCACGAGTCCTGAAAAAGAAGAGTTAGAAGCTAGGAAGAAGAAGCCAAAAAGTGATTTATATGCAGCAAGAAGAAAAATGGCTGCAAATAAACCAAAGGATATTAATTCAGCTCCTCTTCACAGTATTAAGCATCCACAAGCTTTTTAAGTGTTCTGGGTTCTGATCACCTAAGTAATCATAGATGATACACTTCAAAAAGCTGAGGACAAAGTTCTGACAGTCCAAAGGTCCAGCTTACCCCCCCCTTAAGAGCACCCAGCTGCAGGAGTCTTGGCAGGAATTGAAGGAAGGAGCATAAAGCAGCTTTCCCATGGCAGACAGTGACAGCAATCAGGTAGTAGCTGACAAGCAACCAGTTAATGTACAATCACAAAACTCTCATGCTGTCTAACTAAATGGAAATTTTTACAGACATGTCAAAAGTTTCTGCAGTCTTCTTCAGCCAAGGTTAAAACTGGCATTCAACTGGCATTCCACTGCTGTGTTCCCAGCAGGACTCAGATAAAGAAAGGGTGCAGTTTTATGGTGCATGCACATCCTAGAATGGTTTAGGTTGGAAGGAACCCTAAAGATCACCTGGTTCCAACCCTTCTGCCATGGGCAGGAGCACCTTTCATTAGACCAGATTGCTCAGAGCTCCATCTAGCCTGTCCTTTAACACTGCCAGGTATGGGGCATCCAAAACTTCCCTGAGCAACCTATTTCAGTGTCTCACCATCCTCACAGCGAAGGATTTCTTCCTAATCTCATCTGAGCATCTAAATCCTCAGACTGGTGCTTTAAATCCATGCAGAACCCACTATAATTGCCACCTCTCATTTCCCCCCGCAATCTGTCATTTTTTGAAGGAAGCCCACAGTCAATGGTTTCTGCAGGGAAAAGCTCTTGTTGGGTGTTCGTCCATCATCAGGAAAAGCTGACGTAGCTGCAAAATTTATTTTACCCTACAGGTCCCGTCGCTGCTGGGGGAGCGCTCCCCCGGCTCCACAGACAGAGCAGGCGGCCTCGTCCGCCGGACGCCGCGGCACCGCCGACACGAGCGCTCCACCGCACCGACGCTGCCCCGCCGCCCCTCGTTCCCTACCCACCCTCCGCCCCGCGGCCCGGCCCCCGGGGCTGAGAGACCCGGCAGGCACCCCACCATCCACCCGGGAGCGGACCGCGGGCTGCCGGGGCGCGGTTCTCACCGGGGCAGCGGGATCAGCCGCTGGGAAACGAGGAGGGCGGCTCGCTGTTCCCGGGCGGGCTGCGGGGCGGCCGGCCGAGCCGCCTCCCGCCAGCGGCGGCACCGCCCCGCCCCGGGCCCGGTTAACTCCCTGCGCGCCGGGAAGCGCCGTGCTCCGCGGCGGGCACGGGGCGCGGCTGCGGCAGCGATGCCGGGACCGGGGGGGATGCCGCCGGCGTGCTAGTGCGCGGCGCTCTGGGCATCGGCAGGAGAGCTGCTGCCAAAGGCACGGACCTTATCACAGAGATAGAGACGACAGATGAGATAAGAGATAGCTAGAGATAACAGACACAGACGCAGGTGGCCGAGTCGGGTCGGTGCCTGTGTCTGCCCTTGCGTGTGTCCGTGCGCACACACCGTGTTCCCGCTCTCATGGGCATGTGGGCACGGCAAACACGGCGCGAGAAAAGAGCAGAGATGGTTTCAGCTACTGGAAGCATAAATTTAACATTGTTCATACAGTAACTAAAAACACCAAACCCACAATCCTGCAATGCAATTTTTAAAGTAAGTTTTCGCACCAGAACCACACTGTAGTTTGTCATAGCAGGGAATACTTGGGAGGCAGGGAAACTAAAATCTTCATGGTAGAGAACTTTCCGTTCCACAGGACAGTAAGCATATTAGGTACAAAGCATTGCTGAGATGTATTCATTACAAAATCATGAATTGGGCATTTAGAGTAAAATTTATTCATACCCTGTTTCACACTAAAGGACTTTGTATGGGAATATAGGAGAGAGAGATCCCTTGCACAGATGCATTTCTAGGCATAAACAACATGCAAGAGGAATTGCTTAACAAACTCAGAAAAATGTCACCTGTTCAGCTTGTTTAGATTTCCAGTGGGTGAAACACAAGGACAGGTTCCTAATCCACTTCCATTTTCCCGTTCTTTAAATATTTGTCAAGAATTCCAAACTATAGTAGTGGACAAACACCTTAGAGAATGTTTAATTCTGTGGAAGAAAGTTTTTCTTTAAACAGGAATATTACCTACCCCTTCATCTTAGGATCTAGTAAAAAGTCTGCTTTAGCTTTCAGGTCATTTTCTATCCAGCTATAAATCAAGATAATCAATTTCAATTGTTTTTGTAAATAATAAGGTTACTATAGTTACCTTGTCTGAAATGTTCAATTAATTATGCATTTCTTTGAGTCTAATAATTGGTAGCTCTCAGTTATCTCCCTCAGTTATCACTAAAAAATTTAAATCTCCTTTTAGATTCCTGGTTTTGTAGTGTAGGTGTTTGAGTTTTCATTCCATTTTGTATTTTAGTGAGAAGGATACTAATGTTGTTTAGAAGGGTGAAAAATACACAGCAACATACTGCAGTAATAGCAACAATATGCAACCGGTGTTCCTTTTCAGGTTTTTTATATTGCATGAATGAAAATGTAAGCTACGGAAAATAAGGCTATCTGTCATAAACATAATCTCCCTTGTGCTCACCATAAACCATTTTCACAGTCAATTGGTCAAATAATCCAGTGCAGCTGTTGTCCCCACTTCATTTTGATTCTTCGGCTATTCTGAAGGTTTTGTATTATGACGACTATTAATAGAAGGACAAAATGTGCTAAGACTGAACTTCTTTATTTCTATTTCTGGCTTTTTCTCCCACATTATAGCATAATATGTAACTACATTCTGAAAAAATATCTGCAGAGAAGAGCAAGAATATGAAGCTATTTATTTACAGAAAGAAATTTGGCTTCATCCTACATCTTTTACAACTCAGCCTATATATTCAGCACAGACCATAGTATTTAAGAAATAGGTAAGCTCAAATCAAGAAAATTTTAGATGCTTCAGAAGCACACAGGGCAATTGAATTTTCATTTGTATTGCTACACAAAGAAAGTTAATGCATATGTAGCCGTGATCTTTGGAAGCATGTTTATATTTTAGTCTAGTCCAAAAAGACAGAAGTGGTTAGAATTATGTATTAGATATATATTAGACTTCACTACAGTGAAATGGCTATATATAAAAGGAAAATTACTCTCTGGTTGCTAAACTGCTGAGTTGTTGAATCTTAATCTGGAATTGTCTTTTAGAAACATTCACATGCCCAGTATCTTGGATGCAATTTATAAAATGTAACAGCACTTTTGTTTTATCTTTGGACTTGTAAAGCAATCAGCACTCCAAAAAAAAAAAAAAATCTCACTACTTAAAGGCATTCAGGGCAGAAATAGAGCACAAGACAATGAAACAAATGTTTCAGCATTTAAAACAATAAGGCAAGATTTTGTAATAAGCACCCAGCTTTTGACTTTGGCATTTCTCTGAAAAACAGAAATTAAAACCCAGAAGCTTCCACTGCTTTTACATGGAACTGCTGATGACTTTGACTTTGAAAACTGCTGGAGCTTTTTGATTTGTTACACCACTTTGATTTCATGTCCCTTGGAGAACAGGCAAGTTTGCACGTCTGCTGCAGCTCTCTATTATTCTGAATGTGCAGATTCCACAATCACCCCCCTGCTCTTGTGAAGAAAAACCTCAGGCTGTTAATATTTTAACTTACAGTATTCAAACTGTGATCCGTTCAGACTCAGTTGACCAAAAGTGCAAACCTCTCCTTGGCTTGACTAAGGAAAGCTGAATATACATTAATCGCCACCATTTAAGTCGGAAAAGACCACCATCATCATCAAGCTCAACCTTCAACTGAACACCACCTTGTCAACAAAGTCATAGCACTGTCATGTACGGTTGCTTCTTGAACACTTCCAAGGATGATGACTCCACCACTTCCCTGGACAGCCCATTCCAATGCTTAACCCTCCTTTAAGTGAAAAAATTCTTCCTGATGTCCAACCTGAATCTCCTCCAGCTGTTTCCTCTCACTCTGCCACTGGTTGGCTGGGAGAAACCAACGCCCACCTGGCTACAGACTTCTTTCAGGTCCTTTTAGAGAGTGATAAGGCCACCCCTGAGCCTCCTTTTCTCCAGGCTAAACAACCCCAGCTCCCTCAGCTGCTCCTAAAAGGACTTACTTTCTAGAACCTTCACCAGCTCTATTGCCCTTTACTGGAGTCACTCCTACGAGTTGTGTTCCACCTTATTTTCTCTCCCCTGTTCTGCTGGGAAGGGGACTGATAAAGTGGCTTGGCAGGCACCTGGTGTCTAGCCAAGGTCAACTCACCACAACTGCTCAGGTTTTAATGCTATGAGCTCCAACTCTGGCATCCCCTGATAAGGGTGGCCTAGAAAACTGGATTTCCCCAAAGCTCTGCCTTCACAGCAAAATTAATGGTTTCAATGTATCTGGACATAATTCGCAACACAAATTGAAAGTGAAAACAGATACAAGGTAAGTAATCTCACACACCACTAAAGTTACAGCTTCATGAAAGCTTTTTTTATATTTAGAGAAATTTGCTGAGCAGACAGTAACTGTACATGTAAGCATTTGCATATGTCTTAGCCTTTTATTTTTTAAAATACAATTTAGTTGAATTGTTCAAAATATTGGATAGCAAAGATGGACTCAGGTGCTAGGTCTAACAACATCAACAGCAAATTTCTAGTTTGCTGAAAATTTTGAGGGTTCAGATTAGCAATGGTTTACCTATTTCCAATCAATTTTTACATCAAGGTTCTAAAGGAACAGTGTTAAACCAAATACTCTAAACATTCTGTTCAAATAAATATATATTTATTAATAAATTTTAGAACCTTCAGGACTTAGATTCAAAGGTGTAAAATGTACTGAATGTAATCTGAAGAGGAAATTCTAAAAATTAAGAGCTTACTTTTCATGGTATTTGCAAAAAACATGGCAATGAAATTGCACCCACTTTCTAGTGGACTTTATAATCAATATTTAATTATTAATAAGATTTCAGGGATATATCCTAATCCAAGTAGATAAAATAGCAAGTGTTGAAATATCAGTGTATCTTAACTTTTTCAAAATATTAAAGTACAAAGTACAAACTTCTGCTGATGAGAATAATCACAATGATCTAGCATATAATATTTTTGATTGTAGTCAAGACTTCAGGATAGATTTTTTTTCATCTAACAGCTGAAAGTGCAGACATCACAGATAGCTGAGTCCATAGAACTGTTAACCAACAATTCAACTTCTACACAAGACTATAGCAGGAAATGCCACCAGGTCTTTAATTATGTGGTTGAGCACTATGACTGATCAACTAGTTCTTGTGCAGCAGGCACAGCAATAGAACTGTCCAAGAAAGCTGAGTTTCTGTTCAAAGTAAATGAGCTTTTGGAATGAAGAAGCAGTCTTTTCAGTGAAGGCTTAACGTTTTTACTGCAAGTATCCATACCAGTTCAATTCTTTCTGTCTGCATTTCATCCCACACCACACAGTTCCCCTTTACCTTTCTTTATGGCACAACTCATGAGTGCAGCTGTACTTAATGGAAGACACTTGCTGATTTGGACACATCAATAGCATGCCTGTGTCTAGTCAAGTCAGCAGCAATATGGTAATCCTGCAAAGCAGCAGGAGTCTTGTGCAGGAGAAAACCTCAGCTTTGCTTTATTTTGGTCTAGGACTAAGCATTGACAGCTGTTGTCTGTTCTTTAAAATTTGCTGTAATAAAGCCCAATGAAGTTCATCCATCCTGCAAACATCTCAATCAGGTATGAGTTAAATTACAAAAATAATCTAGCCAACATGTAAATAGTACATAATAGTAAATAGGGATATATAAGGAATACGGAGTTTTAGTCTCCCCAAGAATCTTTCAAGTTACTTATTACATCCCTGAAACGGTGGCTTTAACTCATTGCTTGCAGATGGTGATTCAGATCGTTCTGAATCTGCAATAGGAAAAAAAGATTAAAGTTTACAGAATAACTTCAACCATAATAATAAAAAGGTAAAATTGTTGATTTCCTCCTCATGTCAAAATACACCTAAATTCCACTATTTTAATTTTGAATTTACAAGATAAACAAGCTACATAAGAAATTTGCAATATGATGCAAATCTGTATCCCAAAACAAAGGGATTATAGATTTACATATGGAAGGGGATTTATCTCCTTCCTGATGTGTCTAGGGCTTATTCTGTGTA